TTATTTATTTATTTATTTATTTATTTATTTATTTATTTATTTTGGAACTAACTCTTGTGCCCACGGGAGGAATTTTGGATGAAGAGTTGTCTCCACAGCCCGCAGGAAGAAATAAGTATATTTTCCATCTTCCTGGAATGAGGTTGAAAGCTTTCCAAGGAATTAATTGCTGGCACCCTGGCCAGGGTGCTTCTGAAGCACAACTGGCATTCTTCTGCTTTCTGCATGTTTGTTGGTTTGGTTTAAAAAAAAACCAAAGCACAGCTCTTGTTCCATCAGCTCCCAGCTGGGGGAAACTGAGGCACAGGGAGCTGAAGTGACTTGGACCCCAAAGTCTGTGGCTTTGGGATCTCCACCCGGGTTTCCTCCCTTTTGCCTCTCACCTCTCTCTGAATCCAATGAGACTCTTGCAGTGAAGGAGCCTCTGCCTGTTTTGCAGGTATTTTGAGCAGGAAATGAGCAGTTCATGAAGTGCTGCAGCTGAGGAGGCTTCAGGAATCTCAGCTCTTGTTAAAAACTCCTTAGGTACATTTGCTGGGAGTTTCTGATGCTTTTGCTGAACGATGGGAACCTTTATTGCTCAAGTGTTGCTTTTATTGGCCAGAGTGATGCACAGAGGCCTTTTTGAGTTGGGAAAGCTTCTCCCCTGGAGGAGGATCTGCTTCCCAGGGGTCTCTGTGGAGGGGCAGAGCCTCATCCACAGTGATTTCTGAGTTTCACCTCCACGGGGCTCTGATCCTCCAGCTGTGGGAGGGGGAGTGAGTCCAGTAAAAATTCCCCTGCACGAATGGAAAGTCCTCTGTTGCAGGCAGTGCAGCAAATCTGATTAACCTAATTGCTGATTCCTGCCTGCCCTGCCTTGCCTGGGCTCCTTTGCTGCTGCCTTTCCCAGTTTGGGGCTCAGGGTGGTGGCTGGGCCAATTCTCTGCCCCAAAGGCAGATTTCTCCTGAGGCTCCTGCAGCCCCCCAGGGTTTAGGGTCAGTCCAGCCTGATGCTCTCAGGATGCCCCCACCTGGGAGGAATCTCTTCCCATTTTGGGAAGGGCAGAATAAAACAGAGCAGACAAGGATTCCCGGGGTGTTTGCAGTGCCAGTGTTCCAGCAGCAGCCCTAACCCTGGGATCTTCTCCTTCCACTTGGATCTTCTCCTTCCACTGGATCTTCTCCTTCCCCTGGATCTTCTCCTTCCCTGGGATCTTCTCCTTCCCCTGGGATCTTCTCCTGCCCC